TCTTTTCTTAATAGCGTGCTAATTACTATAATTAATTTAGCTATATTTAGCTTATCAGCTTATCAAATATAATTAGGATTAATTTAGCAAATGTAACATAGATAGATAAGCATCATTATGACTCATTTACTTCACCCTATGGTGCAATTTTGCTTATCAATGATGTGATTAACATGTGTATTAATGATTGACTTTGATTTGTAATAATTTACATTTATTTTCTATTTTTATCTTTATTTATTATTTATTATTATGACAGAATCTTCTGGTAAATTAGTAAGCCTTATGAGCGAACTAAGCTTTTATTTTTAATGTACTTTTATTCTTAAAAATATGTACTTTTAAAAATTATTTAAATCTGGCAAGATTTCTTTAATAAAATTTAAGTATTTTTATTGGCAAAATTAAAAACAGTTTCTTTAGTAACAAAACCTTTACAACTTGGTAGCAGTGGAAAACTTTTCACCACACTATATACACACACTATTTTTAATACAATACACACTTTTTGCTTCGTTTTACATTTGTTTTTTTTTATTTTTTATCTGTTTCTTTCTCGTAATTTTTCTTAACAAAATGACAACTTTGGAGGACTTAGTAACTGCTATCGGACAACTTGTTAATGCACAAACTGCTTTAACACTTCAACTTGGTCAACCCCAGGCTCAACAACAAGGTCAACAACAAGGTCAACAACAAGGTGGAAATAATCTTATATCTACAAAAATTGGTATAAAAATTCCTACATTTAAAGGAGAACCTAACGAAAACATAGTAGCTTGGTTATTACAAATACAAACCATATTTTTGGCTCAAGGACTTACAAACGAACCAACCCAAGTCCATTATGCTACTACAGGCCTTAAAAATGCTGCTTTATATTGGTATTTGAATAGAGTTGTTTCTAACAACAACCAGCCTCCATTTGATGATTGGGGTGGATTTGCAAATGCAATTAAAGCTGCTTTTCAACCTCCTAATTATTAACAATATCTTCGGCAACAGCTTAAAAAGCTTAAGCAAACTGGAACTATAAGGGATTATACTACACAATTTCAAAATATTGTAGGACAAATTACAGATATGGGTGCCTTGGACCAAGTAACATACTATACTGATGGATTAAAACCTGCAACCAGAATGGAAGTTGCATACAGAGCACCTGAAACTTTGGCAGCTGCTATAGAGTATGCAATAAGGTATGATACTGCTATGTTTGGGTTGGGAAAACCTTCTGGAAGCCATGAAAAATACTTCAAAACTACTTTGCCTAACCAAAACATTAAGGAAAGCAAAGGTCCTATACGATAGAACTTAATTCTTCTAAAACCTATAGGAAAAACTTTAACAATAATTCAAAAAAGAAATTTAAAAAAGGAACTTGTTACAAGTGTGGAATAACAGAACACTATGCTAGGGAATGTAAAAAGGCAGGCAAAGCTAAGGTTGCTTCTATTGAAGAGAAACCTGTAGCCTCTACATTAAAAATTGAAGAAATTGAATTTACAAATATTGAGGAAAACAAGAAACGTCTTTATCTGGTTTAAAGGAAAAATTAATAGTTATCCTGCAAAAATTTTGTTGGACAGTAGTGCTTCTCGAAACTTTATTGATATAAAGTTTATTGAACAGAACAATATTACAACAACAAACATTAAACCTATTGTTGTTGAACTTGCCAATGGAAGAAAAACTGAAACAAAACAAATTGTTAACATTAAAAAGTTGGAATTAGGAACCTACTACACTTCAGGAATTCAAGCTCAAGTTATTACCCTTCAACGATATGATGCTATTCTTGAGAAGCCTTGGTTATATCATGCTAACCCTACAATTGATTGGAGAACCAACACACTTACTTTTCGATATAGCTCTAAAACCATTGTTGTCAAGGCTGATAACTTAAGCTCTATATTTTCTAATTCTACTTGCAATTTTATTTATATTTCTCACTAACAACTTGCTAAAGATCCTACTAATGCTGAACTATTTGCAGTATATTTGGATACTCCAAATAATAATAAAAATGAGTCTGAACCTGAAGTTCAAAAGTTAATTACACAGTATAAGGATATCTTTTCAAAAACTTTACCTGACCATTTGCCTCCTAAACGAAGCCTTGATCAGGCTATTGAATTAACACCTGGTGCTGAACCTCCACATCGACCAATTTATCGATTATCTTATGATGAAACCAATGAACTTAAAAAGTAACTTGAAGATTTGTTACAAAAGAGTTATATTCGTCCTAGCACTTCTCCTTTTGGTGCTCCTGTACTTTTTGTTCACAAAAAGGATGGAACTTTGAGGTTGTGTATTGATTACAGAGCCTTAAACAAAATTATTATTAAAAATTGCTATTCTTTACTACGCATTGAAGACCTTATGGAAAGGCTTGTTGGAGCAAAATATTTTTCAAAAATTGATCTTTACTCTGGTTATCATCAAATTTGAATTAAGGAAGAGGACATTCTTAAAACTGCTTTTCGTACATGCTATGGACATTATGAATTTTTGGTCTTACCTTTTGGTTTAACAAAGCACCTGCTACCTTTATGACTCTCATGAATAACAAGTTTAGAGAATTTTTGGACCAATTTGTTATCGTTTATTTGGATGATATTCTTGTTTACAGTAAAACTAAACATGAACATCTTAACCATATGAAGCAAGTTTTGGATACTTTAAGGAAACATCATCTGTTTGCTAAAATTAGCAAATGTGAATTGTTTAAACAAAAAGTTGAATACTTAGGACATTATATTTCTGCTGATGGGATTTCTGTTGATTCTCACAAAATTGATGCTATAAAAAATTGGCCTACTTCTTCCAATATCTCTGAACTTCAATCTTTTCTTGGACTTGCAAGTTATTATCGAAAATTTGTTAAAGGATTCTCTGCTATTGCCACACCTCTTACTAAACTTCTACACAAGGATCAAGATTATTTATAGAATAAGGAACAACAAGAAGCTTTTGACCAACTTAAACATTATCTTATCTCTGCACCTATTCTACTTCTTCCTGATCCAACCAAACCTTTTACAGTAACAATGGATGCATCTGATTTTGCTATTGGAGTAGTTCTTAGTCAAAACCAAGGAAAGGGTGAACAACCTGTTGCTTATGAATCTCGCAAGCTTTCTCCTGCTGAACAAAAATATGCTGTTCATGAAAAGGAATTACTAGCAATTGTTCATGCTATTAAACTTTGGCATATTTATCTTGAAGGTCAAAAGTTTACTGTAATCACTGATCATGCTTCTTTCAAATATTCAAATCTCAAAATAATCTTTCACGAAGGCAAGCTCGCTGGCTTGAAATTTTACAATCCTCCACCATTGATATCAAATATAAGTCTGGAAAAACAAATGTGGTAGCTGATGCCTTGTCTCGACAACCTCACTTGGCTAATATTTCTGTTATTTTTTCCTATCTTGAAAACTTTAAGGAAAAATATCTGAAGGATAAATACTTTGCTTCTATTTACAAAACTTTAAAAAATCCTGATCAAAGTGACAAAAAACAACAAGCTTGTGCTCGACATTATGAATTAAGAAACAATAAACTTTATTTAAAAGAGGATCAATGTTTAGCTATTCCTATAGATAAGAAATTGAGAATCAAATTATTGGAGAAATACCATGACATTAAAATTGCAGGACATCTTGGAATCGATAAAACTTATGAAGCAATTCAACGTGATTACTTCTGGCCAAAAATGAGTAAGGATATTAGGAAATTTGTCTTAACTTGTGACTCATGCCAACATAATAAAAGCAGTAACCAACAACCAGCTGGGTTACTTGAAACTTTAACAACTCTAACAACTAAATAGGAACAAATCACTATGGACTTTATTGTTCAATTACCTCCTACAAGACTTGGACATGATGCTATTGTGGTTTTTGTGGATAGATTAACTAAAAGAGCTTATTTTCAACCAACACATACTACTGTTACTGCACCTGAAGTTGCTAAACTTTTCTTCTCAACTATCTTTAAAAATCATAGATTACCTAAAGTTATAATCTCTGACCGAGATGCTAAATTTACAAGTAACTTTTGGAAATTACTTTTTAATCATATTGGGACAAAACTAGCAATGTTTACAGCTTTTCATCCTCAAACAGATGGCCAAACTGAAAGAATGAATCATACTTTAGAAGAAATGCTTAGGGCATATTCTATATATAAACAAAACACTTGGGATGAATATTTACCTGCAGTCAAATTTGCTTATAACAATTCTAAGCAAGCCTCTACTGGATTTACTCCTTTTGAATTAGATTGTGGACAACACCCTAACACACCTGCATCTCTTGCATCTAATAAACTTAACCATGTACTTGCTGCTGAGGACTTTATTAACCATTGGAATAATATGATCAAAATTGCTAAGGATACATTAATGTTAGCTCAGGAAAGGCAAACAAAATATGCAACCAACATCGTTGTGAATTAAATTTTAATATTGGTGATAAGGTTATGTTATTAGCACAAAATATTAACAATCCTATTGACAAATATAGACCTACTCGCAAATTGTCTCCAAAATATTTAGGTCCTTATACTATTTCTGCAAAAATCTCTTCTACAAGTTATCGATTGGACTTACCTTCTACTTTGAAAATTCATCCTGTATTTCATGTTTCAATGTTAAAACCTTATCAACAATTTGAAGAATTTAACCGTGAAGCTCCACCTCAACCTATTATTATTCCTGAATCTAATGAAGCTAAATACGAAGTTGAACAAATTTTGGATAAAAGGTTAATTCGTAACAAAACACAATATTTGGTTAAATGGTTATGTTATCCTTTACATGATGCCACATGGGAACCTGTTGAAAATTTGAAAAATGCACCTAAAAAGCTCAAGGAATTTGAGTTGATGAGGAAATAAAATCTTAAGAAGTGGAGAATGTAACAATATTATAATTTCACCATAATTTTTCTTTTTCTTTTCATTATTTTTTTAATTCTTTTCTTAATAGCGTGCTAATTACTATAATTAATTTAGCTATATTTAGCTTATCAGCTTATCAAATATAATTAGG